CATCTGTACCCCCATCGCCCCCACCCCTGGATTTCATGCATTCTGTCATATATATTAAGTCCTGTCTGGTCAGGCATTTGTACCCTGATGTCCCTCCATGGAAGTTCATCCACTGGCATCCAGTCAGCCTATCTAGAACCTCTCCCTTAAAGAAGAGCTGCTCTTCCTCACCCAGCAGTAATCAGTTGCCAATAGTTACTCTCCTAGGATTAGGGCCTGCTGCCCATTTCTCTCATTCTATGCTGGATTTTTGTCTGACTGAGTCAGCATGAGTCTTGTACATGCTGTCACCATTGTTTGCAAGTTCATATAAGCAAGTTCCCAGTGGCTTGAAAGCCTCTGTTTCCTTATGTTCATGCACCAACCCTGGCTCTTACAGTCTTTCCACCCCCTCTTCCACAATGGTTCCTGAGTCATGGGTGGGTGAGTTTAACATAGGAGTCCTGTCCAGGGACACGCACTCTGCAGTCTCTTATTCTCTAAAACTTCACAAGCTGTGGCCTTCTGTGTGCGTTCACTCTGTTGTATGAGGAAGCTTTGCTGGTGAGAGTTGAGGGATGTGGTAGTGTTCTCTCCACCCCCTGTTCTGCAAGACAGGGATGAGGACAGCCTGTGGAGGGTCTAAGAAATGAAGCTAGAGAATTGAGCTAATCTGGGTACAGGGAATCAGCATACAGTGGGCAGGTCTGTCCTAAGAGGGTAGTCCAGAGATCTGGGGCAGAAAGAACAGGAGCAGGCCTGGGCCCAAGGCTAGAACGCACGTGTGGGGAGAAAGTCTAATGAGCCCTCTACTGCATTTTTCATAGACAACAACTGTATTTCCATCTTTATTATTTTGTTCCTTTTTAGTGGTTTTACTATTCATCAAGATCCCTCCATCTGTTCATGCGTGATAATCACAGTTACTGTGAAGACCCTAGCCGATGGTTTTAGCTTCTCCCTATAGGGTTCTGTGGGATCATTTCTCCTGTCCTTTTTTTAATATATATATATATTTTTTTTGGTGGGGGAAGAGGAGGTTGAGTCATAGAATTTTCTAGTAGATTCTGGTCAAAAGGAGAGACTGAGGTGAGCCGCAGCTTTTTTTTTTTTTTCTTTTTGTTTTTAAGTTTAAGAGAAATTTTATTGATTCAAGAATTTCATACAAAAATTTTTATTATATTCAGAACTCCTCCCCATCTGCACCCTCACCCTACCCCCTACCTCCCTGACTTCATGTCTTCTATTAGAAAATTAAAAACCCCACCCATCTTACATAATACCTCTGAGCAGAGAAATCATCTCATTAAAGTGTCAGTGATCTAGAATTCTTTTTGCACCCCAATATATATTTTTATTTAATTTTTGTGCATTTCATACATCTTAATCATATTTAGACCCTCTCCCCCATCTGCACCCTCTCATAGCCCCCCACACTGGTTTTCATGCATTCTGTCATATATGGTAAGGCCTATTGAGTCAAGTTTGTGTCCCCAGATGTCCTTGGTGCAAGTTCATCCACTGGGGTTCTCGTCACCCTATCAGGAGTCTCTCCCGTAAAGATCAGCTCTCCCTCACCCAGCGGTGGTCAGCTCCTCAGCTAAGGTTGGGGCCTGCTGCCCATTTCCTTGGTTCTGTGTTGGGTTTTTGTTTGATTGAGTTATCGTGGGTCTTGTGCATGACATCACCATTGTTTCTAGTTCATATGAGCACCTTCCCAGAGACCTGGAAGATCTGTGTCCTTATGATGATGCACCGACACTGGCCCTTACGACCTTTCCGACCCCTCTTCTGCAGCCATGAGTGGGTGAGGTTTAACACAGGACTCCTAACCAGGGACACCTACCCTGCAGTCTCTTGTTCTCTACACTTCGGCCAGTTGTGGCCTTCTGTGTGCATCACCCTCTGTTGCATGCGGAAGTTTCACTAGTGAGATTTGAGGGATGCATATTGATTGGCTAACAGCAAAAGTTTGAAAACCAAGCGTTTTATCACAAAGGGGCTGTTTCTTGGAAAAGGGGAACATTTAGAAAGTTCCCATAAAAACCCCATCTGAGAAGAAAAAGAGGAGGATTTGTTGGAGCAGGGGGAAACCACAGGCTGGCTGGCTCAAACCAGTTATGCTGCATTCTAGCCCCAGACCTGTGAGCAAACTTTGCTGAGAGAGATGGGGGTGGGGGTGAAATCCTTGTTTTTCTTAATTTTCCCACCACTTTCCTCCCACCCTGGTTTGTGACCTGCTCCCTCCATAGGTGCTGGTTTGTGACCTGCTCCCTCCATCAGGTGCTAGAGTTGAACTTCTCTTCATAGCTCGTCTCCTCTCAAACAATTTACCTAGTTGCCCAGGACTTCAGCTCTAATTTATTCTGAAGAAAGCATGATTTCAATGCGGAGCAAAATTTTCATTACTAGAATGCAAACAGTTTTCTTGTCTGGATTTCTTCATCCTTAGCTGAGGTTAGCATGTGTTGTATGTATATGTTCATGTGCCTGTGCATAGGTTCATGTGAACATGTTTGAGAATTTATATGGAGACCAGAGGTCAACACTGAGTGCCTTTCTCAATTGCTCTCCGCCTTGGTCTTTGAGACAGTTTCACTGAACCGCAAACCCACTGATCCAGTAGGCTGGCTGGGCAGCAAACCCCAGGGGTCCTGCTGTCTTTGCCCCCCCAGTGCTGGGGTTACAGGAGCACATGCTGGAGAGAAATCAGGTCCTTTTGCACAAGCGTCTTACCAACAGTCATCTCTAGCCCCCTTTCATCTTTGTAGTTTAGGTTGCTCTGCATCCCCCGTGGTAGCTCCCCTTTGACAGAAGGCACCTGTGCAGGGATCCAGTTTGTTCTTATTGAGAAAGATCCTCTCAGGGACATTATTCACAGCTCTGAGATCCCTGCAACAAAAGCCCCAGGGGCAAGTGTTAGACTATTCCTAGGGAGATGAGAACTAATGTCGACTCACCCTTATTAGGTCAGGATTGGCCAGGCGATGGGAGGGTGGAAGAAAAATAAAAAATGGATCTCGACAAGGCAGATTGTTCTTCATTTAGAATAATGAATGACAGCAATCTTCCAGGACACAGTTAGTTTAGTCTTTTAAGGGCTCGGGAAGGGGCTGGGGGAGAAGGAGGGAGAAGGGCCTGTGTGAGGAAAGGTAAGGATTGGTGTAGAAAACACCTTATCGGTGGTTTCACTCTGCAGTTTGAGTCTAAGAACAACAGGAGCAAACGGGTGTTTCCCCAGACAACATTACGGTTCTGGGCTGGGACTTTCTTATCTTAGTGTGGGACTTGGAATAGGGGCTTGGGCTTTCTCAGTTTAGTCTAGGACTTTCCACTTGTCCTTCAACCCTAGAAAGGGAGCCAACAACAGACCAAAGTAATGATACCACCAAAAAACCAAGTTGGTGAACCAATGAGTTCTACTGGGGTTACAGGAGCAGAAATGACTCAAGGATGCAAAGCTATCACCAAAGCCCACCCCAGCATTGGTGACAGCTCACCAAAGCAGAAAGCCTAAAGCACACTGCACAACCTTGCGGGCAGCTCAACAGGCTGGAGAGTGTCCTTTCCAGGGAGTTGCATTGGTCTGAGCCTCCAAGCTACTCCACTGGTCTCTGATTCTTCCAGACCATTCTGCTTGTCTGAGAATATCTGTCAGCAGGCTTAGGAAGGGAGGAGCATAGTGAATCTGGTCGATTTTAGAACTTCCTGAATCCATTGAGTTGTTTACTTCCTTCTCTGCACGTGGCATGTTTCACCACCTTTCAAAACATCCTGTTGTTTACCCAGCAGCTTCTACCCAAGACAGAAGAGTGTACCCACCAGCAAGGCATAGTCTGCATTTCAACCCCAAACGCAGTATTCTCTAAGCAGTGTTGGAAGCTCCCATACAAGGGGGATGGACACAGATGGCCTGGTCAGTTCCAGGCAGGGTCTGGGGCCAGAGAACCAGCAGCTTCTGCCTAGAACACATCTTTGACTGATACTATGGGATTCTTTTAGGAAAATCAAATTAACCCTCACACTGGTGCTCTTCTCAGCCCTTGGACTTCCAGGGCAGAGAAAAGAGGGGGAAGGGGAATATTTGTATAATCTGGAGCACACCTCCAAGTCCCACTCAGAGCGATGGATCAGCCCAAGTCACTGTTTGCCTAGAGACCCTCTAGGGCCTTCATCCCCTTCTTTATTTCTAAAGTACTTTCTTTACCAAATAGTTTCATGAAGACCTCACCTGTGAGTTAACTGCACATCTGTCGTCCTAGCACATCCCCCTGCAAAGACTCCCAGGGAGCAGTGTTTTAACACTGTTTTCACACAGTGACCCGACTTACATACTTAAGTTAGCATCAGAAGATATTAGCAGTGCATTGTGGTTCTTGACTGCAACACCCACGCTGAGAAGGCCTGGCAGTATCAGTATTTCTCTTTGTAGCTCCGACGTGCACAGAAGGTAAGGACTTTAAATGTCATGTCCCCTTAGGAGCACTCCCCTGTTACATCCATAGTAAGTCCTGGGAACAGAAGGGGCTTATTTAGAACTGAGAGATGTCTACTTCTGGGGATTGTTTTACTATGATTTCTTTGAATAATTTATCAGCTACTTAATGCTCATCAAATTTAGCTTTTTATGTAGAAACTATCTGTAACCTCTCCTACATTTTAATTTCATTCTTTGAAATAGGTCATGCCGAATAAATGTGATCTTCTCTAAGCAAGAATTTGAGTGTTACAGGCAAGAAAGAAAAACTTGGCGTATCTAGAGACTACCACATGCCAAATGTGTTCAGTGTCAGTGCGTCTCCCATAGTCTGGGTAAACTGAGCTTACTGTCACCCTGTGTTTAGCCACATTGTATACTGCTCACAGAGTGCATCTTCCCACCCCAGCTAAACCTCCCTGGATACCCTCACAGACACATCCAGGGCTGTGTATCCTAGGTAATTCCAAATCTAGTCAAGTGCCTGGGAAGATTCACCATCACACCTTGGCCTCAGGAATTCTTTTTTGTGGTTCTCTCCCAGGTGCTGGGGTCCCCCAGTTCCAGCCAATTGCCTTGAATGGCCGAATCCAGGTCCTCAGCAACGGGTCTCTGTTGATCAAGCATGTTGTAGAAGAAGACAGTGGCTACTACCTCTGCAAGGTCAGCAACGATGTGGGCGCAGACGTCAGCAAGTCCATGTACCTCACAGTGAAAAGTAAGGAGGAAGTATACTTTGTTTTTCCTGCAGAGGTCTTTGGGGGCTGAGTTTTCCAGTGGTCTCTATGCACATCTGTTTCAAAGTAAAATATCAGTGGCCTGTAGGTTTGCTAGCTGGGATTTCGTGTTCTGCTGTCCAAGAAGCTCAGCTGAAAAGAACTGAAAAGTCCAGCTGATGCCAGCAGCCCACGGGGGCTCCTCACAGGAGCGGAGGGCTTCACACCCAGGGCCCCTCACACCCAGAACTCAGAACTCTTCACACCCAGGGCCCCTCACACCCAGAACTCAGAACTCTTCACACCCAGGGCCCTTCACAACCAGAACTCAGAACTCTTCATACCCAGGGCCCTTACACCCAGAACTCAGAACTCTTCACACCCAGGGCCCTTACACCCAGAACTCAGAACTCTTCACACCCAGGGCCCTTCACACCCAGGTTCCTTCACACCCAGGACCTAGAAGTACATTCTTCTCTCCTTTCAGTTCCTAAGGTCATTGACGTCAAGTTCTAGAGATCCTAACTGATCAGTTGGCCTCTCCTTTAGCACACGTCTGCCCACTGATCATCCTGTGAAAGGGTCGAATGCTTGGTTTTATGTCCATTCGGACAGAAGCCTCTTTCACATTTTCAATTTGAAAACTGGCTTACGCATAGATTTCCTTTGTAAAGTAGTCATAGGTAAAGGGACCTGCTGCCAAGCCTGACAACTCGAGTTCAGTCCCAGAACCCACATGATGAAAGGAGAGAATTGATTCCCACGAGTTGTCCTCAGACTTCTCATGCACACTGGCCCAGGCATACAGAACCTGTACTCATGCACGCACATGTGCACACACACACACACACACACACAAATTAATATTTAAAAAATATAAGGTAGCAACGGGAAACTTCACTAACAACAACAGACAGCTATAGGTTCTGTGCTGTTGGCTCGGCTCTTCACCCTGAAATCTCCACAAAGTGGACCATCTTTCCCTGGGTCTTGCTTATTAACAAATGGCTATACATCAATAAGTGGGTTATGTTCATTTATAGCCAGTTCCCTATTGTATAAATTTTAATGTCCTCCTAACAACAACCTTTGTTCAGACTCTCTGTCCTAAAGAAATTTAGTTCTGTTGCTGATAATAAAAAAAAAAGCCACATCTTTTTAGTAGGATTAGATTTCAAAAGTGAATATGAGTGATCGTGTGCGCATGTGTGTGAGAGATTCAGAGAACAGCTACACAGGACAGAATCGATCCTATGCACCAAGAGTTTATTTTAGTTCATTATTCTACCTGGACAACAAGAACATCAAGCTATTTGCTAGACATATGCGTAGAGAGACAGCTTGCCATTCTGAAATGAGGTTGTTTGAAATACATTTGTACATATCTGTGTTATTTTTTCGTTGCTGTGATAAAACACCATGACCAAGGTAACTTACAGAAGGAAGAGTTTATTTGGCTTACAATTCTAGGGGTATAAGAGTCCATCATGGTGGGGAGGTGTGGTGGCAGAGGTGGTCAGAGCAGAAAGCTTAGTGCTCACATCTTCAAGCAGGCACAGGAAGCCAAAAGAGGCAGAAGGAAAGTGGATTGTGACTATAGACTCTCAAATCCCTCCACAAATGACCTGTTTCCTCCAGCAAGACCACGCCTCCTAAACTGTGCAAACAGTACCACCAACTGGGGACAAAGGGTTTAAATACCTGGAACCTCTGGGGGATATTCATTTAAACCACCACAATATCCAGTACATAAGTTTGGACGTCTCAGTTCTGTGCTCTCGGTAGACTTCTTTGCAGGAATCTGAAGACAAATTATGATATCTGTTAATACAAAGCTACAATAGTAATTTTAAACAATTATTCTTGCTGACATATTCTGGTAACTCAAGAGCCAGGGGCCAATGTTGACATATTGGTCTGTCTTTGCATAGGAAAAGGGTATATTTTATAATTATTTCATTATATTTTAAATCTGTAAAATATTTTTCTATTCTGCAAATATCTATGAAGTCCTAATAGCTCAAGATCTTATGGAGGATGTAAATCAATGGGTCATGGGTGTTACCCTTGTGAATGAAAATATTGCTGCTGGGCCGGAGGGATTCTCAGCAGTTAAGAGCCCCAGTTGCTCTTGCAGAGGACCCGGGTTCGATTCCCAGCACCCACATGGTGGCCAACAAACGTCTGTAACTCCAGTTCCAGGGGCTCTGATGTCTTCTTCTGACCTCCTCAGGCATTGTACAACATACACATAAAATAAAAATAATAATTAAAAAAGAAATTATTGCTGACTTATAAGGGGACGGTCATGGAAGAGGCGGGAGTGACTGACTGTCATCAGGGAAAACGAGTTCTGCTTTCCTGGCAGACGGAGGGCAGAACTTCAGCCTGAGGGGATTGGGGAGAGCATCATGAAAGGTTCCCCATATATCCTGTGTGTGTTAGTAGCAGGATATTAGGGGACAGCCAAAGGATGGCCTGGTATCTTCCCTTCATGAGCCTCCTTTCTGGGGCAGATGGCCATTGTGTGCACAACTTCCACCAAGCAAACAACCAGGGCCCCGGCAGAGCAGGACTGTGAGGTTACAGGCCAGGGGCCATCTTGCACTTGCTGTGGGATTGGTACCTTTGTAATATGCCCTCTTTCTTCAAAGTTCTCATGTTGAAATCGTGATCCTCACTATGATGGAGTTAGAAGGGGAGGCTTCGGGAGCTGAGTGGTCATGTGCAGTGTCGGTGGCTCAATTTGATTTTCTATCGCTGTGATGAAACAACATGAACAGGAAATGGTAAAAATACTTCATTTGTTATTTCGAGTGTTCGAGTGTATGGCCTGCATGTGTGTAAGTGCACCCACGTCGTGCAGTGCCCACGGAGATCAGAAGACGGCCTCAGATACCCCTGGAACTGGAGTTGTGGACAGTTGTTAGCTGTCATGTGGGTGCTGGGAATTGAACCTGGGTCCTCTGCAAGAGCAGCCAGTGCTCTTACCTGCTGAGCCATCTCTCCAGTACCTCATCTTACACTTCTAAATGACAGTCCATCACTTAGGGAAGTCAGGGCAAGAACTAAGGGCAGGAACTTGGAGGCAGGAGCTGAAGCAGTGACCATGGAGGAATGCTGCTTGCCGGCTTGCCCTTGGGCTCATATTCAGATGTTTTCTTATATAGCCCCGGCCCTGCTGTCCAGCAGTGGTATGGCCCACAGTGGGCTGGACATTCACACATGAACCAACAGTCAAGAAAATGCCCCATAGATACGTCTATGGGCCAACCTTACGGAGGAAATTCCTCTGTTAAGGTTCTCTCTTCTGTGTGTGTCAAGCTCACAACCGAGATTATCCATCATGGCCTGATGCCCCAAGAAATGGATGCCCTGCAACCCGGAAGAAAGCCCTCACTAGAACCTATGTCTGTTACCTGAGTTCAGATTTCTAGCCTCCACACTGTGAGGGATACCTGTCTGTGGTTGATACTTTACCTGGCCCATGGTAATCTGTTAGAGAAACTGGGGTTCACCAAGACACTATAGAATTATAGACTGAAATTCTGCTTCATTGGAGTTTAACGTTAAAGGAGGAGTGTGACAGGCCAGAGTGTTGGTGCTGGGGGAGAGAGAGAGATGTCTCAGAGAGAGGGAAGAGAGGCAGTATGAGGTATTAACAGACCCAAGCAAGATGGTTTCCATCTGGCATCCATGGAGGAGGCAAGGGGGAAATGTTGTTTGTGGGCATGCTGAAAAGTATTTATTAGAATTAGCCGGATTCTGAATTTTCTAAAACCATGTAACTAGGATGTTATAAGACAGCATCATCATTGGTGTAGAGAGAGAGAAAACAGCAGAAGCGCTCTAGAAATTCATTCTGGAGGCATCAGTGCCAGAGCACGGGAGGAGGAAGGAGAGCAGAGTCCTGCTCCACAGAGGGGCATTTACAGGGTTCCCATGACACTGCCCAATGGGGTAAAGCCTCTGGAATCTCAGGACTAGCCTTTTGCACCTAATGCTGGCCCTTTAAGAAGACTCAAGTGTTGGGACACTTCCAAATGGAAAAACGTTGACTACAAAGGAGATTGCTTGTCTCCAAATAAAGCTATCATGTGATCTCCTTTTTCCAATGGCCGTTTTTATTTCATTGCTTTTTATTAGTTCTTATTCACGATATAAAGTGTGAGTTCTATCACGACTGCTTCATTCAGGTAAATCCTGTACCTCACCCAGATTCCACATCCACTGCCCTCGCCTGTCTACTCACCCACTAATCTATTCTTCCTCTTCTCCAGCGGTCCCAGAGCCCCTGTCTATTCTCATATATGTATCTATACATACACATACATAGATACACATGTAAATCTAGATCCCATACGTGTAATAAACATGTTATTTGTTTTTCTGAATTTGGCCTATCTCACTCACTCAACATGATCTCCAGTTCTCTCCATTCTCTTGCAAATAACACAATTCCATTCTTGTATCTGAAGGCACAATACCCCGCTGTATATATACCCCATTCCATTATCCATTCACCTGTTGATGTATCCCTAGGCTGGTTCCATAGCTGGACTACAGTGAGTAGTGTTGCAGTGGACACAGTGAGCCAGTGCCCCTGTGGTATGCTGACTTGGATTCCTTTGGGCATATTCCCAAGAGAGGGACGGCTGAGCGACACCTGAATCTACCTTCAGGTGTTTGAGAAACTTCTATATTGGTTTCTATAGTAGCTGGACCAACTTACATTCCCACCTGCAATATATAAAGGTTCCCGCCCCCCAACATCTCAACAGCGTTTGTTTTCAATTTTGTTTATTCATTTTCTTCCTTCCTTCCTTCCTTCCTTCCTTCCTTCCTTCCTTCCTTCCTTCCTTCCTTCCTTCCTTCCTTCCTTCCTTTCTTTCTTTCTTTCTTTCTTTCTTTCTTTCTTTCTTTCTTTCTTGAGTCAAGGTTTCCCTGTAGCCCCAGCTGGCCTGAACTCACTGTGTAGACCAGGATGGCCTTGAACTCACAG